GTGGGGCTGGTGCGGGATCGGGCAGTGTTTCGTTCTGCTGTGCATGGGGTCGCTATGAGTCGGAAACGACTCGACGGCACTTAACAACAACAACAACAATAACTCAGTAAAAACTCCATTTTAAAAGGCAATATAAAATCCTTTGCCTGAACTTTCTACAGAACCATCAGGTGAAAAGTTTTTAAATACATATCAAATATAATTAGAATATTGAGAGTACTTTTCTATTTTACTAATGTTAACAAAATATTTCAAATTTGACCCCACAGAGTCATTGCTTAGGGGGACACTGAGTTTGTTAATGGTGGTGGAATAATTTGGAAAAGAACAGTGGTAATGGTTACACATGATGAATGGAATCAATGTCACTGAATTATACATGTTAAAATTGTTGAACTGGCAAATGTTTTGTTATATATTTATTTATTCAAGCAATATTAATAATAAAAATTTGACTCCCATAAAATAGGAAACTTTCAACTGACAATGTTCATCCCTAAATGTGTTCTGGCCTACTAGTGTTTTAGTGATCTTTCTAAATGGGACCTACATCTCACTGTAAAATTAAAACCTCAAGTTTCTTATTAGAAGTATTTTCAAAAAATCAGAAATAGTTTTCATAAATATGCATATAAGTCTACCTGCTTTAGATATAAATGTCTACAAGAATAGAGCAACAATAAACATTTTCAAAATTGTTGTGAAACATATATATGGTATTTATGCTGTTTGCACTGTACTCATTCATGACCTAATATTGCTGAAATAAAGTCTTTATTTCTGAACATTCCAAAACAGCAGTGTACACAGTAACAAATATTAAGTCATATACCATAAGAAAGCATTCATTAGTGCAAATGGATTTTGTAAAAGGTCTATCAAAAAGATTTATTTGCTTTAAAATGCATCCATTTCCAGAAGCAATGTTAATAAAACATTACAGTTTCATCCTTTGTAATAAAATATTGAAAAACCAATTGTGGTATAGTAGCAAACATTGCAGGCTTTAAGTGCAATGAGCTTGTGATGGCATTATAAATATGGAATTCATGTATAACAATAAATTAACAATGAAAAAGAGAAAAAGATAAGACCATTTAACTCTGCTGTCTGGCTATCTCCTTTCAATGCTTCAGAATAATTTGTGCTCATTCAACAAAAATTATGTCTCTCAAATTGTATGATGTATTTTTGTTGATATATCCCTAGAGCTAAAAAAATAGTACCTTACCACAAAAATATTTTTATGGCACAAAATTTTAAGTTGTTCCATAGTGGTTCACATAGGTGTAAAAAGAAATAGGTGCAAAAAATAAAATTCCTGTAAACTATAAAAAAATTAAATTTCAAAACATAAGTTATAGAACCTAGTTGTAAATACACAATGTATTAAAATGCAGAACATGTAATGGAGAGATGTTTGGAACACATAAGTAAATTGTACAAGTTACTTTAAAAAAACTCATATGGCAAAGCATTATTGATACATCTTAATTTTCCTCAAAAAGTATTCAGGTACATAGCAGTTCTACAAAAACGTCCTAGATCTAAGTGTCACAATACTGCAACCAGGAATTTGAGAATGTTGCAGTATCTCAGGCAAATATTTAAGTGCAACAATTAGTCTCTGGTGATTGGTCCAATGAAAAACAATGCAGTAAATATGTTAAAATGCAAAAGGGAAACAATATCCCAACATCCACTGTTACCCAGCCAGCTAGGTAACACAACCCTCATTTTTCACTTCCCCTCCATTCTTCAAGGGTACATAAAAACTGCATCAGTAGCAACCATCTCTCCAGTTTCCATCCCTCAGAGTGCTGAGTGAAGACAGAGGCTTTGGAGGCTGAAGGAAACTATAAAGGGGGTGAAAAAAGGGAACAGATTATTAATAATTCCATGAAACCCATCACTTACTTTCATCTGCTCTCTCATATAGTCCCTTCACTCCATAATGACAAACTATTGGGACTTCATCAAGAGTACACTGTGTTTCATATGTCTAGGTGTATACAACATGTTCATGACTACTAACCCCAGCACAGGGCCTTGCATGTTTTATGTACACAAATAAATTTGCAACATAAATGACAAATGATCAGTATCTTTAATGTGTAAAGGATATTTTAAGTCAGAAAGAAAAAGAGAAAACTCCACAATAGAAAAGAAATCATCTAAAAATATAAATGGCTGCTTCTCTGAATACAAATAGCAAATTAACATGAAGAAATTCTCAACATTACTAATAGTCAAAGATTTGCTGTCATATTGGCAAAGGACTAAAAAAACATGATAGTACTCAGTGTTTGCTTAAGTTTGGGAAAACAAACCTTCTCATATGGTCTGGAAGTGACAACCTTTCTAAAAAGGTAGTTTGGAGACGTATTTTCAAGGATAAATGGACATATTCTTTAATTTAGAAATTGTTCTTCTAGAATTCATCTTAAGGAAATAATGTCTATATATAAAAATGTATTTGAAGGTATCCCACAATAAACTATGTACATCGAACAAAGGTATTCTATTCAGTCATAAACATGATGACATAGCTCTGCATTTAGTGAGGGACACTAAGCCAGAATTTATTGAACAAATATGTATTAAAATGATTTCAATCTGGGTAGGGGATTATGAATCAGCCTTTATTTGTTCTTTCTGTGTGTTTTTCAATAGTTTCTGATTATTTTTTTATCTGAGCATCTCATCAGAAGATAAAAAGCAAAACTATTTATATATACCCATATGTAAGAAACAAAATGCGTGTCCACATCCCTTTCAAGCTTTTACTATGGTCTCCTCCCTCTCCACCTTCATATGTTAATTTCCTGTAAGAATTCCTGTAGTGACTATCTCCATTTTCTCATCAATCTTTCCCCAATCCACTTTTATGGTTTTTGTTTTATCTTTACTATAAAATACTCAAGGATGTCCAGTTCAAGAAGGGTACAGCATTATGTCTGTAAATTGGTCTAAATAAAATGTCCCCTGTGAGTAATGTGGATTTTTAAAGATAAATAATAAGTTTTTTTTTACCTGACCATACTTAACCATAAGTTAACATAAGCTGACAAAGCCCCAGATGAACATCACTAAGATGTTATTTAAAATATGAATATGGAAGGGGGATGTGCCCTAACACACGTGTCTAACACATTTTTCCACACTGATGAGTTGCTATTTAAAAGGCTGAAGGTTAGAACCCAATCCATGGCTCTGCAGAAGAAAAACATAGCAATGTGCTCCTATAAAGATTATACCCTAGAAAACTCTATGAGGTAGTTCTGTTCTGTCACATGGGGTCAGTATGAGACCAAATTGATTTGACCACACATACAAAAATACGTATATGTGTACAACATCACACTATGCTGGACACTATTCTTGGCACTGGGGATCTATCAGTGAGCAAAAAATTTATTGGCCCTCCCTTATGAAGCTTACATTCTAATCAGGAGAGTCAGACAATAAACAATAATAAAAATATTTATAAAATAAATAAGTAGGCTATATCATCCATCAGATGGTGCTAAATGCTAGGGTGGGGGCAGGCAGATGAAATAGATGATAGGAAATAAGGAAGAGGAGTTGCAAATCTCACAGAAGTTGCAATTTTGGATAGTGATGGCATCAGAGCAAAGATCTGAAAGAGGGAGGGAATACAAACACAAAAACCAAACTCACTGCCATCGAGTCAATTCTGACTCACAGTGACCTCCATTGGGTTTCTGAGGTGGTAAATTTGTATGGAATTGCCCCATCTTTTTTCCACATAGTGGCTGGTTGGTTTGAACTGTCAACCTTCTCTTGTTAGCAGTCATATGCCTTAGGCACTGTGCCACCAGAGCTCCTTCAGGGAGAGACTAACCCACACCAATAACTTAAAGGCAGAATGGTACAAAAGCCAAGTGGTGGAGCTCACCTGTTAAATTGAAGCAAAAGCAAACAGTGCAGCAGGAGTGAAGTGACGAGGGAGTAAGGGAAGAAGAGGAAATCGGAGAGAAGGAGATTTGCCCACCTAAAGACCCTCACCCCATTTCTTTCTAAAAGAAGGAGCACACAAGTCAGAAGTAAACAGTACAGTAATCCACTAAGGTTAAACTGAGGCAAAGGAAAAGTCCTGTTTCTAATCTCAAACTACAAATGAAGTTATGTAAGCAAACAACCAACATATGTAAACAAACAACTCTTACCTTCTAACAGGCTGTGCAATTTTGCTTCGAGGCAAGTTACTCCCATTTATTGCCAATGAAGGTCTTGGAAGTGCACTGCGGCCCATTATACCAGAAGCTGCAGTTTTGTTTGGTGTGGGGATTCCTGTGTTGGAATATAACTGTAAGCCATTGGATAAAGGCATGTTGCTGCTGCCTTGAACGGTAGGACTCACATAGGCTGTGGCTTTAAGAGGCTGTCGGACAGACACTGGGAAATGTCCCACGCTGTGAACTCTGTGTTGAAGCTGTCCTGGTGATGGAACTAGAGGAGAAGACGACATACACATGAGGGAACACTTTACCACTATCCAGCTTAGTAAATGTGTTTATATTCAGAAAAGCCTATAATATCAGAGAGTAAAATATACATGTTGTTGTTGTTAGCTGCCTTTGAGTTGGTCCCCAACTCATGGAGACCCCATGCACAATGAGAATAAGATAGTTGTGATCCACAGGGTTTTCACTGATTTTCAGAAGCAGATTGCCAGGTCTTTCTTCCTAGTCCCTCTTAATCTAGAAGCACTACTAAACCCTGTTCAGCATCACAGCAGCATACAAACCTCCACTGACAAATGGATGCTGGCTACAGCCGAGGTGCACTGGCCAGGAATTGAGCCTGGGTCTCCTTCAAGGAAGAAGAGAATTCTACTACTGAACCACACCATAATAGACATAGAAATAGATAAATGAAATACAGTTTCCTAACAGCATTTGATACTGGAAAATTCTCATCTTTGACAAAAGAGTGTCCTATTCTGTCAATCAAGCAATACTTCTGAGTGCCAACTATATTTGCAAAGATCCCTGCTGATGCGGTCAGTGGTTAAGCACTCAGCTGCTAACTGAAAGATTAATGATTAAAACCTATAAGCTGCTCCATGGAAGAATGATGTGGTAATCTGCTTTCATAAAGATTACATACTTGGAGCCCTAAGGTGAAGTTTTACTCTGTTCTATAGGGTAGCTGTAAGTAGGAATTGATTTGTTGGCAACTGGTAACGATACTTAGAAGCAAGTTCTAAGCATAGCCTCATTTCCTTTAGAAAATTTGATAATCTCAGATGTTATAAGATAAATTCTTCCTTGCTTGCTTAATTGAAATTAGGATTTCTCAATTATTGATCTGGATAGTTTTACAAAAGTAAAATAAAGGAAAAAAATAATAATTACAACTATAGAAAGCTGCTATTCATAAGGTTTCACTGGCCAATATTCTAAGAAGTAGACCATCATATCCTTCATCCATGTTCTTGATATGGGATAACATCAAGGACATTATACATGAAGAAAGCAAAAGGTCATGAAAAAGACAGGAAAGAAACAAAAGACCAAAGCAGACTCAGAAATTTGCTCTGGAGCACAGAGTAGCTAAAGCAAAAGGAAAAAAATTTGACATAAAAGAGATGAATAGAATATTTCAAAGGGCAGTTTGAGAAGACAAAGTAAAGTATTATAATGAAATGTGCAAAGACCTGGAATTAGAAAACCAAAAGGAAAGAACATGCCCAGCATCTCTCAGCTCAGCTGAAAGAACTGGGAAAAAATTCAAGCCTTGAATTGCAATATTGAAGGACTCTAGGGGCAAAATATTGAATGACATAAAGTATCAAAAGAAGATGGAAGTAATATACAAGTACACTGTACCAAAAAGAATTGGTCAACATTCAACCATTTCAGCATATGGTCAAGAACCAATGATATAGAAGGAAGAAGTCTAAGTGCACTGATGGCACTGGCAAAAAACAAGGCTCCAAGAATTAATGGAATACCATGTGAACTATTTCAACAAACTGATGTAGCACTGGAGGCACTCACTCATCTATGGCAAGAAATTTAGAAGATACCTGCCTTGCCAGAATGTAGAATATATCAAACACTATCATTAATATCATTTTCAAGCGTTTTTAATTTCAAGTCTCTGACCTTTCAGAAGCAGATCACCATGCCTGTTTTCTGAGGCATAGGTATGAACTACTAACTTTCAGGTTACTTGTCCAGCACTTAGCCGTTTGTAACACTCAAAACTCCATTTTTCTTAATAATTCATTATGACATTTACTACCCTCACAGGATTTAATGGGAAGATTAAAGTAGTTAATAAAAACAAAGGACTTAACTATTTACAATAGCCAAAACATGGAAACAACCTAGATGTCCATCAATTGAGGAATGGATAACCAACTATGGTACATACACACAATGGAATACTATGCAGTGCTAAAGAATAATGTAGAATCTGCAAAACACCACATAACGTGGATGAACTTGGAGGACATTATGCTGAGTGAAATAAGTCAGTCACA